AGGCTGAGTGGCAAAGCCACATTGTTAAATGGTAGGTACACAGAAATAGGAGGACTTTGTGGCAGTTTGTTTTGGCAATCTGCTACAAACTACCAGATCTATAGTAGCACAAAATACTTCCCTTTACCTGCCATTGACAAAAACTTAGCGACATAGGAACACCCCAGCTACAGAGGCTGACTAGGTAGACAAGTTCTTACTAAAATTCAGTGTAGGGGAAGCAGGAGGGTTCAAAAGGGAGACTTGGGATAAGTAAGCACAGTGGCTTATGCCTGTAATCCCAATACTCTGGGAGACTGAGGCAGGTCGATAACTTGAGCTCAGGAGTTCGAGACCAGCCTGAGCAAGAGGGAGACCCTGTTTCTACTAAAAACAGAAAAACTAGCTGGTATCATGGCAGGCACCTATAGTTCCAGCCACTTGGGAGGCTGAGACAAGAGGATCACTTGCGCCCAAGAGTTGAGGTTGTTGTGAGCTATAACGACACAACACTCTATCCAGGGCAACAGAGTGAGACTCTCCCCCCCCCCAAAAAAAAGGAGAGAGAGACTTGGGGGAAATGGACACTGGAGGGAAAGAGCAGTCTATCCCATAGACAATGATTCCATAAACTATTTCTTCAATTTTTTTTTTTTTTTTTTGAGACAGAGTCTCACTTACTCACCCTGAGTAGAATGCCATGGTATCATAGCTCTCAGCAACTTCAAACGCTTAGGCTTGAGCAATCTTTTTGCCTCAGCCTCCAGAATAGCTAGGACTACAGATGACCACCACAACTCCCAGCTAGTTTTTCTATTTTTAGTAGAGACGGGGTTTTACTCCTGCTCAGGCTGATCTGGAACTCCTGAGCTCATGATCCATCTGTCTTGGCCTCCTAGAGTGCTAGGATTACTGAACTACCATGCCCAGTCTTTTCTTTATTAAAAGCAAAGAATAAGAAACCACATAATTTAAGAAAGGACTAAAAAGTAAAAACTTTCAATTAGGAGCACATTTCAAATTGTCCCTCTAGTTCCCAGCCAGTAAAGGTCAACCCAGCCAGAGGAGGTAGGAAAGGAGAAGCAGTGGGAGGGCTCAACCACAGGCCCCTACTCATGCAAATCACCTTGAGGAAGGGTACAAATTACATTTGAGGATTTGGTAATTAATTCACTTAATTAATTAATGTGCTCACATACCTCTTAGAAAGTTTTTAATACCTTCAGGGTTATCCACATTTCAGTTTTAAGGCAGTTGCGTTAGAATATTTAATTCTGATATCCTTCTCACTTCTTGTTATTTTTCAGCATTTTAATTCTGTTCTTTGTACCAACTCCAAAAATAGATACATTTTTTGGTTTGGCCTCCCATTATAGTTTGATTAGGTTTTTTCTTAAAATTGTCATAGTAAAAACACATTCTTATTAATGTAGTATATAAATTCTCAATCTCATTCCCAAGGTAAACACTCTACATTTGGACATATTTCCTTCCAGATATGTATGGGGGGAGATACGCGCATCTGTCTGTAGATAGACAGGGATACATACACAGACAAATATGTACATATATACACACACGTATAAATATTCTGTATTAAGTTTGCTTGAAGTTTTAATAAAATATTATGAGACAGAATAAAGTTGCATATTAAAAAAATATATATACTATGGCCAAATGATTTTTAGTTTCCTTAGGGTCACAAGGACATTAACAGTTTTAAGAAACCTATTTAAATAGATCACTATACTAAAATATCTATAAAGAAAAAGCAGCGTGGTACAATGGCTCATGTCTGCAATCTCAGAACTTTGAGAGGTTGAGGTGGTAGGGTCATTTGAGGCCAGGAGTTTGAGACCAGCCTGGCCAACATAGTGAGACATCATTTCTACAAAAAAAAAAAAAAGAAAGAAAGAAAAATTAACTGAGTGTGGTGTCATGTACCTACAGTCCCAGCTACTTGGGAGGCTGAGGCCGGAGGATCACTTGAGCACAGGAGTTTGAGACTGCAGTGAGGTGTGGTGATGCCACAGCACTCTAGCTTGGGTGACAGAAATGGACCCTGCATCTAAAAATTAGAAAGAACAACCATATGGTCATTTTATAGTTGATGTTTAAAGGCTATTAATAAAACATTGAACATCTATTCTTTTTTTTGACCCTTAATGAAATAGAACTAAATATAAATTCCTTAACATAATAGAATACAGAATATATCCCATTCCCAAAGCTAGCATAATGCTTAATAAAAAATCAATTGAATTAAACTCAGGAAAAAAGAAATTGATTCATTTTTATTATTATTATTTAATATTTTTCCAGAGATATTAACCAATGCAATTAGAAGAGAGAAATCAGAGCCATTAAAAAGGGAGTAATTACATGTCTGTAATCCTAGCACTCTGGAAGGCTGAGGTGGGATTGCTTGAGCTCACAAGTTCGAGAGCAAACTGAGCAAAAGCAAAACCCCATTTCTACTAAAATAGAAAAACCGAGGCAAGAGGATCACTTGAGCTGGAGTTGGAGGTTGCTGTGAGCTATGACGGCATGGCACTCTATTCAAGGTGACAGTTTGAGACTGTCTCAACAAAAAATAAAAGGAGTAATTATTATTTACAAATAATATATGACTGAAAATCTAAGAAAATCCATAATAAACAATGACAGAATTAAGGGAAGGTAGCTGGGTATGAAATTAATATCTAGTAATCTGTTGCTTTTACATATGAAAAATGACAAGTTAACTGGAAGTATTTCAGATTGCATGTGAAAACCCCACACTGTACCCCAGAAGTGCATTGATGTACATAGTTACCGTTCAATAAAAAAAAAAGAAAAAGAAAAAGAAAAATGACAAGTTAAAAGATATAATGAATGATATAAATATACAAAGAAAAAAGAGTTAAGAGTTATAATGAGGGAAAGTGACATTTTCAATAGTGACAAAGAAGATACATTACTCAGAAATAAGCTTAAGAAAAAATGGACAAGGCCTTTATGAAAAAAAACTGCCAAGCATGTCTAAGACAAACACACACACACACACACATACACCAATACACAAGATTGAAAAAGTAAAAAATAATATAATGTTCTTGGATCAAAAGAATCAATGTCACAAAAATTTCAATGCTCCCTAAGTTAAAATATAAATTGAACATACACCAATTTTAAAAATACCAATAGGGGCTGGGCATGGTGGCTAATACCTGTAATCCTAACACTCTGGAAGCCTAAGGCAGGTGGACTGCTTGTGCTCAGAAGTTCAGAGACCAGCCTGAGCAAGAGCGAGACCCTGTCCCTACTAAAAACAGAAAAACTAGCTGGGTTTTGTGGTAGGTGCCTATAGTTCCAGCTACTCAGGAGGCTGAGCCAAGAGGATCATTTGAGCCCAAGAGTTTCAGGTTTTTGTGAGCAAGATACCACAGCACTCTACCCAGGAAAATAGAGTGAGATTCTGTCTCTAATTAATTAATTAATTTATAAAATATACCAATAGGACTTTTCCTTGGTGGTGGGTGGTGGGAAACTAAACAAACTGATTATTAAAATCAGATAAAAAAATAAATTTATATAAAAATTCTTTTTTCACTTTTGAATTTTGAACCCTGTAAATGTAATTACCTATTTGAAGTTATAAAATTCTCAAGAGTGAGACCCTGTCTCCACTAAAAATAGAAAAATTAGCCGGGTGTTGTGGCAGACACCTGTAGTCCCAGCCACTGGGGAGGCTGAGGCAAGAGGATTGCTTACACCCCAGAGTTTGAGGTTGCTGTGAGCTATGATGCCATAGTACTCCACCCAGTGTGAGAGAGTGAGACTCTGTCTCAAAAAAAAAGAAAGTGCTTAAATATGTTTTTAAAACATATACACACATAAAGAGAGGTTTTTAAAAATAAAATGTTCTCATACACATAAATCTGCAATTTGTCTTTTTTGGCATAAAGGTATGTTGGCATTCCTTTGAGCCTATATTTACAGAACTATTTTATTCTTTTTAATAATATATATATACATTTTATTGTATTAAGTGAAATTTATGAAGCCATTCCCTATTGATGCAATTCAGGAGCTTTTTTTTTTTTGGTTTCCTGCAGCTGGAGCTTTTGATATGGGGGTAATTCTTCTTAGCCAGGATTAGAAGATATAAATATAAAAGTAAAATAACAAAAATATTGGAAGAACATTATGGTCTTAGCCTGAGGTAAATGTTCTTAAACAATACTGGAAACCCAGACAACTTGAAAGAAAAGATAGATAGGTTATATTTCATTATATACAAATGTAAATTGTGTTTGGGGCAAAAAGTATCATAAACAAAGTTAAGAGACAAACAACAAAGTAGGAGAAAGTATTTTTTTTTTAATGGCAGATAAAAAAATGCAGATGGGTTAATATATCTAATATAAAGATTCTAAAAGTTGATTTTTTAAAAGAAATGCAAAGAATATGAGCACACGATTCATAGAAGTACTCATAACCAGTAAAGATCCTCAACCTCAGTAGTCATAGAAATGCAAAATAAAACAATGAGATCTAATTTTTCATCTATCAGGTTGACAAAAAATGTAAAATACAGACAATATCCATTGCTGGCAGGGTATGTACAACAAGAAAATGTACACTACCAAGCATTTTTAGTATTCATCTGAATCTCAACTACCTTTTGGGAGAGTAACCTGATTATGCTAGAAAAAAATTTTAATGCTCATATTCTTTGACCAAGCAATTCATTTAATGTAGGAAAAAATAACCTGAAAAATATAATCTTTAGTTTCTGTTTCTCTTTCCCTCTTGCTTCTCCCCAGTACACCTCTCTTGATTTAGTGTCTCACTGCTCAGCCAGCCGGACTATCATCACCAAGCCCTCCTCTACCTCCATTATATTCTAGCCAACCAAAGTTACTGCCTGGGACAGGGGGATGGGCTTGGAAGCCTTTGTCTAGTGGGACCCCTTGTGCTTTCAGGAGAGTGAAGCCAAAGACCAGCCAAAGTTCCTGGGCTTTCTGACAACGTGCAGGATGCTGATGGCACCTAGAAGAAGCTACTGTGCCCTGGCCATCTTGTTGGCATTTGTGGACATCCAATCTGGTGGTGAGGACAGACCCAAGAGCAGAGACAGCCATCAGGGAGAATCTTGGGCTCATGGGGAGGGATGGATCCCATAATTTTTTTCTAGTAGGGAAGAAAAGGACTCATTCTTCTTGACCCTAATGAAAGGGTAGAAACTATTATTGGTAGAACTAATACTATTCCAACTCCATCAGACATTCTGCCTCTGCTATGTGTTGTAAAGAGCCTCATAATCTGGGCCTCAATGCAGGATTTCTTCAGGCTTTTATATAGGATGGCCATAAAGTTCGTGTGCAAATTGCACACGAACTTTATGGCCACCTTTTATTATGAAATCCAGATTTAAGGTACAGATACTAGAATCTTCATCAACTTTAGCTACAAGTTTAATCTTCTGTGTCACTTTACTTATAAAATGGGAATAATCACACCTGTCTCTATGGCTATACCAAGAATTAAATACAGGGAAAGCACTTTATTTATTTATTTAAATTGAGATAGAGTCTCTCTTTCTTGCTCTCTGTAGAGTGTTATGGCATCATAGCTCACAGCAACCTCAAACTCTTAAGCTCAAGCCATTCTCTTGCCTCAGCCTCCCTAGTAGCTGAGACTATAAGTGCCCACCACAATGCCCAGCTATTTTTTTCTGTTTGTTTTGTTTTGTTTAGCAGGCCCTGGTAGGTGCCAACCCACCAGCCCCTGTGCATGTGGGAGGCGCCCTAACCACTTAGCTAGCCCACTCCCTGGAAAGCACTTTAATAGAAACCCTATAAAAGTCCCAATTGGAGGGTGGAAATAAAATATAAACCATTTTTGAGTTGAATGGCTGAGATTTCACCCGCCACAGGGGTGGGGAACCTGCAGCTTTCTCATTTCAAGATTGTTCCTTTTTAAGCCCCAAAGGAGTCAAGAAAAGCTTCATCTTTCTTTGTTGCACTGCTTTTAATAAAAGAATTTGTCCTACAAAATTTGGATTCAGTCAAAAGGCTGCACTTAAGGACCTAGAAGGTCACAGATTCCCCAACCCTATGTGGCAGGCTCTTGCCCATAATCTACTCTTCTGTGAGGGTGGCACTTAACATCTCTGGGGGAGCCTCCATCTCTGCTTCAACATTTTCCTGTGAGTGAATTTAGTTGACCATGTCTACCACAGGGAGTTTTATAAGGCAAAACATTTCACAGGGGTTCAACCTGCTGAGGGAGTGAGAAATTGGGTGGCAGCATCAGCATCTGTATGGTGAGTTTTTAGCAGGGGGCTGGATTTAACCAAGGCTGGGGTTTTGCAAGGAATCCTGATAGAAGTAGTAAAGCTAAGGGAGCTAAGGGTGCATATAAGGGAGTGATTATAGCAGTGGACTACAAAATAGAAACTGCATAAGGAAGTGAAGTTGTGAGGAGAGTGAAAGACAGTGAAAAAGTGGTAGTGTCCATGGATGGGAAAATTAGGAGGAAAGAGACCCACTGGGCCAACGTATTATGTTGGGCTAACCCAACTGTCTTGTTTTCTCCACTTCTGTATCCAGGCTATAGATTACTTATGGAGAAAATGATAAAGTCTTCAGATTGCTACCATCAAAGAGTTGTGATCTTTGGATATCAATGGTCCCTCAATAACTTGTCTGTTTCTCCAGTCCATTTTCACTCCCAATTCCACATAGTGGCCATTTTTAATCTTCTTTGGTGTCTCCATGACTTCTCTTACTTCTTACTTGGTAGGAAAAGTTTTACTCATCCCTGAAGTATCAACTCAAGTACGAAATTCTCTGTGAAGTTTTCTTGATTCTTCCAGACAAACTCAGGAATCTTGCAATTATCGGAACTATAAATTCGAATTGTAATTTTTTGCCAATCTATCTTTACATTAGGTTCTAAGCTCTTTGAGAGTGGGACTCATGTTTTATTCATCTTAGCCCCAGCAGCATACAGCTTGGAAGAGTGGATACTTAAACATTTTTGTTAAGTGAAAAAACAAATAAATAACTCTATGGATAATGGAAGCTTTGAGCTTGTATTTAGTCCCTTACCTCTCATATTTCTCTTGCGAAAGGAATTAGGTAACTTGCCTATAGTCACATAGCCAAAGACAGAATGGGTGTTTCTTGTCCACCACTGTCACTGCTAGGTTGTACTCCAGTATCTCTAATAAGAAAAGAGCAGGTATGATGAAATTTGAGGAAATCTACTTGACCTCCCATGGGTAATCCTTCCTTTCCCATTCTAGGATGCATAAATATCACCAGCTTAGTTTCCCAGGAAGGAAAGCAGCTAAAGTTAATCTGTACTGTGTGGATCAAGAAAGAAGAGGCTGAGGGGTTTGTAGTGTTTTTATGCAAGGACAAGTCTGGGGACTGTTCCCCTGAGACCAGCTTGAAACAGCTGAGACTTAAACGTGATACTGGTGTTGATGAAAAGTCATCTCAGTTGGTGTTCACCATAAACCAACCCACACCACTCGACACTGGGACCTATCAGTGCTGTGCCCGAAGTCAGAAGCCAGATATCCACCTTCAGGGCCATTTTTTCTCCATTGTAGTCACAGGTAAGTCCCTAATATTCATCTTAATGCAACCAGGTGGGATAGTAAGCAGGGTTTGGGGTCCTAGATCAGCAGTTCCCTCCTTGAGAAGAGCCCTTCATTTATTCAGTCTTCCTTGGCAGCACATATACAGAGTATCTCATTTTGTCTTTAATTTAAAATATTAAGATAGGGCTGTCATCCCTTTTTTAATGACAGGAAAGGAGTCACCCCAGAGGAGTGAAAAGAGATTTGTGCAATGCCCCTCACTGATCATTGCTAGTAAAAGCAGAGAGAAGTCTGGAATTTAGGCCTCCTGATTCCCAATTCAGAGCTCTCCCAGAGACATGGCTGTATTTGTATTTCTAAATGAAAGCAGAGAAAGAGATAAGTTTGAGGTAAAATGGATATTTGTCTCAAGGAACATATAGTTGTAAGAAACAGAAACCCACACAAGCTACCACAGATCGTAGGGAGAAAAGAAAACAAGTACAGAGGGCCTTCATGAGTTACAGTTCCTGGAATTAGAAACCAAAAAGCCGAGAGAACTCAAAACAGTTACTCCCCATCTCTAACGCTCTGTGACAGTGAAGCCTGTCTGCACCTCTGCATGCCTTCATTGTGTGCACACTCCCACTTCACTACTACTTGGCACAGCCTAAATTCAGTCTTTCCAGCCTCAGCTTTATATGACTTCCTTGAGTCAAAGTATCCACTCACCCTCTGTGCTTCTGTATCTCCAGACAATACAGCAAACCTTCCAAATGTTGTGAAAAAAAATTTCTATCTAAAATTCTATATCCCACCAAACTACAAATCAAATGTGAGGAAAGAATAAAGACACTATCAGGCATGCAATGACTTAAAAAATTTTGATTTCCATGTGATCTTTTTATATTTATTTATTTACTTATTTTGAGACAGAGTCTCACTCAGTCACCCTGGGTAGACTGCCGTGCCATCATCACAGTTCACAGCAACCTCAAACTCCTGAGCTCAAGTGATCCTCCTGCCTCAGTTTTTCAACTTTTCATAGGGACAGCATCTCCCTCTTACTCAGGGTGGTCTAGAAGTCCTGAGCTTTAGCACTTGCCTTGGCATCCCAGAGTGCTAGGATTACAGGCATGAGCCACAACGCCTGGCCCATGTGATCTTTGTAAAGAAGCTACCAGAGTATGTGCCTCAGTTAAAACAAGAATGTGAATCAGTAAAGTGGATAAAATGAGATCTAGGAAACAACAAATCTAACAAGGGAAAGGAGAAGAAGAAATTCTAGAATGAAAAAAGGGCAAAAAGCATTCAAAAAATTAATGAAACAAAAAGTTGGTTTTTTTGAAAAAAAATTAAAATCTAGTAAATTTTTTGGCCAAATTAACTAGAAACAGAAAAGTAAAAACTCTAATAACCTCAATCAGAAATGATAAAGGGGAAATAACAAAAGATGCCACAGAGATACAAGAGATTATATCTGACTACTACTACAAGAAACTCTATGCTCAGAAATTTTACAATGTGGAGGAAATGGATGAATACCTGGAATCACACCCTCTCCCTAGACTTAATCAAGAAGAAATAGATCTTTTGAACAGAACAATTTTAAGAACTGAGAGCAAAGACACAATAAAAAAAAAAAAATAACTCCCAACAAAAAAATGCCCTGGTCCAGATGGCTTCACACCAGGAGTCTATCAAACCTTCAAAGAAGAACTTATACCCATATTGCAGAAATTATTCCAAAAAACTGAGAAGGAAGGAATCTTCCCCAACACGTTCTATGAAACATCACTGTGATACCAAAACCAGGAAAAGACCCAACTAAAAAGAACTTCAGACCAATTTCACTAATGAATATAGATGCAAAAATTCTCAATAAAATCCTTGCCAATAGATTACACCTACACATTAAAAAAAATCATTCATGGGCTGCACCTGTGGCTCAAAGGACTAGGGCACCGGCCCCATATACCAGAGGTGGTGGGTTCAAACCTATCCCTGGCCAAAAACCTCAAAAAAAAAAAAATCATTCATCATGATCAAGTAGGTTTCATCCTAGGGAAGCAAGGCTGCTTTAACATACACAAGTCCAGGCTCAGCGCCTGTGGCTCAAGCAGCTAAGGCGCCAGCCACATACACCTGAGCTGGTGGGTTCAAATCCAGCCCAGGCCCGCCAAACAACGATGGCTGCAACCAAAAAATAGCCGGGCATTGTGGCGGGCGCCTGTAGTCCCAGCTACTTGGGAGGCGGAGGCAGGAGACTCACTTGAGCCTAGGAGTTAGAGGTTGCTGTGAGCTGTGATGCTACAGCACTCCACCCACGGTGACAGCTTGAGGCTCTATCTCAAACAAAAACAAAAACATATATAAGTCCATAAATGTAATTCACCATATCAACAGAAGCAAAAACAAAGACCATATATGATCCTTTCAAAAGATGCAGAAAAAGCATTCCATAAAATGCAGCATCATTTACTAATTAGAACACTTAAGAATACAGGCATAGGTGGCACATTTCTGACTCTGATCGAAGCCATCTACCACAAACCCCATCTAATATTTCTACTGAATGGAGTAAAACTGAAAGCTTTTCCACATAGAACTGGAACCAGACAAGGTTGCCCTCTATCGCCACTACTATTCAACATAGTGTTGGAAGTTCCAGCCAATACAATCATGCAAGAGAGGGAAATAAAGGGCATCCAAATGGGAACAGAGTAGGTCAAACTCTCTCTCTTTGCCAACAATATGATCTTATACTTAGAGAACCCCCAAAACTCAACTACAAGACTCCTGGAAGTCATCAAAAAATACAGCAATGTCTCAGGATATAAAATCGATGTCCACAAATCAGTACCCTTTGTATATACCTTTTATAGCCAAGATGAGAAGCTAATCAAGGACACAATTCCCTTCATAGTAGCGTAAAAAAAAATGAAATACCTAGGAATATACTTAACAAAAGAGGTGAAGGACCTCTACAAAGTAAATTACAAAACCCTAAGTAAAGAAATAGCAGAAGATATTAACAAATAGAAGAACATACCATGCTCATGGCTGGGAAAAATCAACACTGTTAAAATGTCTATACTTCCCAAAGCAATCTACAGATTCAATACAATCTCCATTAAAATACCATCATCATACTTTCAAGATTTGGAAATAATAATTCATTGTTTTGTATGGAACCAGAAGAAACCCCATATAGCCAAGGCAATTCTTAGGAATAAAAACAAACCCAGGGGTATCACCCTACCAGACTTTCAGCTATACTACAAGGCCATAGTGATCAAAACAGCATGGTACTGGCATAAAAATAAGAGATATTGACATTTGGAACTGAATAGAAAACCATGAGATGAAACTAACATCTTACAGCCATCTGATCTTTGATAAACCAAGCAAGAACATACACTGAGGAAAAGAAATTTTACCTATTCAATAAATGGTGTTGGAGGGCTGGGCAAGGTGGCTCATGCCTATAATCCCAGCACTCTGGAAGGCGGATGCAGGTAGATTACTTGAGTTCACAGGTTCAAGACCAGCCTGAGCAAAAGCACGACCCTGCCTCTAAAACTAGCCAGGCGTTGTGGTGGGTGCCTATAGTCCCAGCTAGTTGGGAGGCTGAGGCAAGAGAATTGCTTGAGCCCAAGAGTTTGAGGTTGCTGTGAGCTATGATGCCATATCACTCTACCAAGGGTGACAAGTGAGATTCTGTCTCAAAAAAAAAAAAAAAATAATAGATAAATAAATAAATAAAAATAAAAAAATAAAGGGTGTTGGAAGAACTGGATAACCACATGTAAAAGACTAAAACTGGACCTGCACCTCTCACCACTTACAAAAATTGATTCAAGATGGATAAAGATTTAAATCACTCTACCCAATGAAACTATCTCAAAAAAAAGCAATAAAATAAAATCAGGTGATAATTATCTCTAGAAAAAAACCTAAATTTCATAAAAACATAACACACAACTTGATTCTGCAAAAAATAATGCAGAATCTGAATTAGGGAAACATGACTCATTTAAATAAAATTTGTGATATTATTTTTGGAAGGATGCAGAGGGAAAAAAGGGGTGAAGTATAAGAGAACCATATTCTCATCTACTATAACAGAAACTCAAGAGGTAATGTCTAAATGTCATCATTAGGAAGTGGCAATATGGTCATATTATGTAGGAATACAGTAAAACCTCTCAAAGATGTGGCAGTGGTTGTCTCTAGGTAATAAGCCTAGGAGGATCAAAGGGCATTGCTATTATTCTTCACAGAATTTCAACCATTTTACTTTTTAACTTTAAGAAAAATAAATAGGCTTGGTGCCTATGGCTCAAGTGGCTATGGTGCCAGCCTCGTACACTCAAGGTGGCAGGTTGGAATCCAGCCCGGCCCGCCAAACAACAATGACAGCTGCAACCAAAAAATGGCCAGGTGTTGTGGCGGGCGCCTGTGGTCCCAGCTACTCGGGAGGCTGAGGCAGGAGACTCGCTTGAGCCCGGGAGTTGGAGGTTGCTGTGAGCTGTGATGCCATGGTACTCTACCCAGGGGGACAGCTTGAGGCTTTGTCTCAAAAAAAATAATAATAAATAAAAATAAATAAATATAAATGAACCATCCACTCCCAATAAAAAACTAGTCCAGAGTCTTTGAACAAGTGTTTTCATCACCTCCTATGGTTGCTAGTTAATTCAGTCTTTCTACGTTAGTTTGGTTCTGACCTGTTTTCCTTGCTTTCAGGTGTCTTCCTGTCTCATCTAGCTATAGCATTCAGCACTTCAGTAACTCTCATCTCTTCTGGCTTCGCTGACTCCTTACTCCCCTGGTTCTCCTGCTTGTCTAGTGTTCTTTTGTCTTCCTCTCTGCCTCTATTTCCTCCTCCCACCTCTCAAAACATAAGTATTCTCGAAGATTCACCTCACACTCCTTCAACCTTTTCTACTATCATTATTAAGTTTTCATCTACTCATGATTCAAAACCGCACCTCCTTGCAATGGACCAGCAAATCAACTTCTCGAGTTCTGACCTCTTTGCTAAGATTCAGCATCTCCACTGACAACTGATTCTCTGCTCAAACTCAAAATCAAGCCCGTCCTCCCAAGACCTATTTCTGTCCATCATTCAGTTAAGGAGGGGCCTTAACTGGACCTTAACCTTGGTCTCTCCTTTTTCTTATTCCCTACCCAGTTAGTTCCTAAGTACAACTAGCTCTTTCCCACATTTATTCCTTTTCTTCCAAAAGTGTTTTCCAGGTCTTCAGTACCTCACACTTTACATATTCCATTGGTCTAACTGGTGAGTTTTTGAGATCACCAAGTGTCTTATTCCTCTTTGTATCTCCCATACTTACCACACCACCCCAGTCAGCTCTAAATACTTTCTCTGCCTCTAATCCATTCTACATAATGCCACCAGACTTATCTCGCTAAAATGGTAATTTATACAAACCACACCACCATTCAGTTTTAGGGTAATCATTTCATCCTGGCACATAAATAATAGAATGAACTACTCTCTTTTATTTTTATTTTATTTTATTTTATTTATTTATTTTTTTTTTTTTGAGACAGAGCCTCAAGCTGTCCCCCTGGGTAGAGTGCCGTGGCATTACAGCTCACAGCAACCT